GAAGGCTCTTTTGAGTTCGTGGCAGGGGCAGAATCATGAGTGGTCGGTCTGGCCCCAGGGGGCTGGACCCTCGTTATCTCTACCTGTAGGGGGATATTTGTATATGAATACTCCCATCTGTAATTTAGACAAATACTCTAAACAGTAGTGAATTGCTGAAGTTTAAACAACATTATACAGTATAAGTTTAAAATTGATGTAGTTAACATGCACTGCCTTTCAGAGGCAGATTACTCAGTGCGGATTTTCTGGACAGTTTTTCATAAACAATACTTTGGGAGGGTCTTGAAGGAACTACCTGTTCATAATATACAAGTCATAAATTGAGTTATGCAAACATGGAAATGATGGGGACACATAACATGGCACAAAAGAAGAGAAAATTCAAAAAATCATCATAAATTAACGAAGTGTCAGAACAACACCAAAATCAGTTTGCATAGGTTTCAGGAGGTGGACTAACCATTGCAATCATTTAAAACAGCTTCCAAACATTGTAAGACACTTTTACAGGAGCGAAAAGGGAGATTGTTGTGTGAAAATCCCCCATAGGAAGCATCGCTGTGTGAGGCAGCAAATTTAACAGAAAAAGGCATCGTTGTGTGAATTCATCGTTGTGTGAGGCACTCGTTGTGCGAGGCACCACTGTATTTTTATCTAAAAATTTATATATTTTTTTATCTTGATTGACTTGATTGATGCAATAAGTCTTTACTCAAACTAAGTACCTCCTGGCTTAAGTACATGTTTCATTGATGGTTGGAAACCAGAATGTGCTTAGTCTGAGTGAAGACTTCCTAAATCAATGAAGTCAATTAAAGTTAAAAATGCAGACAGAATCTTATCTGTGCTAACATAAGGTTTAGTGTAATGTGCCATAACTAATCATAGCTAATTAACAAGATCCTGAGTCACATCTCAGTTGTGTTGCACCAGCACCTTGTCCATTAGCTGTGGCAAGTTACACAAACCTTGGACTGCACTTACAGGTTTAGATTAGAGATGGGCGTATTCGTATACGAATATTCCCCCCAACACACACACACAGATGGAGATAATGATTTCGCTGGTGCCGCGAACTCCACAGAGCCTTCCTATTGCTCCATTGCTCATGATAGATTAGCTTGTCCTGGCAGAAGGCGGGATGACGAGCCTCTGTGCCAGGGTGCAGAGTGGCTAATCCATCGCGAGCAACAGAGAGATAGGAAGGCTCTTTTGAGTTCGTGGCAGGGGCAGAATCATGAGTGGTCGGTCTGGCCCCAGGGGGCTGGACCCTCGTTATCTCTACCTGTAGGGGGATATTTGTATATGAATACTCCCATCTGTAATTTAGACAAATACTCTAAACAGTAGTGAATTGCTGAAGTTTAAACAACATTATACAGTATAAGTTTAAAATTGATGTAGTTAACATGCACTGCCTTTCAGAGGCAGATTACTCAGTGCGGATTTTCTGGACAGTTTTTCATAAACAATACTTTGGGAGGGTCTTGAAGGAATTACCTGTTCATGATATACAAGTCATAAATTGAGTTATGCAAACATAGAAATGATGGGGACACATAACATGGCGCAAAAGAATTTTGGCTTGGAAACTTACTAGACAAAAGGCTCTAGCTTGATCACTCTGCTAGATGGCTTCTTAGGGAGGGAGGTTAAATGAATGTAACGGCCCATTAGTCTATGTAATTAACCATAATCCACTAGGATCAGTTTAAGTCGTGGGTTATATATGTATAGAGTTTGTTATATCCTTGGCATTATTGCAAGTAACTGTAATAATTCTAAGAGAGCAAGATAACACTGACAGATGGCAGAAAAATATAATTCTAGAAAACACTAAAGATAGTCGTAAAGTACTGTATCTCAGAAAGCTCTGTGGGTCCTTTTAGACTTAAGTTAGAATTCAGACTTTCAAAGAGAGTGTGTTGTTTCTAAAGTAGACCTCCTCCTCCTGTTTGGAATGGCTGGGTATCCTTATAAATGGTCACATCTGTATGGTGCGTCTGGTTAAAATACAGACTTGCTGTGTTTGCCATACACACATTTACAGAGCAGCTGGATGGAGAATCCTTACATGAGTTGATTGAGATAGTTTTCTTGTCCCCTCCATGTATTCTGTTTTGTCTCTGAATGTATAGCCACTGTATTCTTGGAGCTGTGGAAGAGGCACAGAGCTAATGTTGTCAGTTGCTGGAAACTGTATTGGTGGGATGAAGAAGAGGTAAGATTTATCCTCACCTGTTGCCATGTTCGCTTTTGTTGTCTCCTGTTGTAAGGTGTCCAGTCTCTGTAGTGACATATGCCTTGCTGGATTACTGCAACATGCACCGTGTGGGGCTGCCTTTGAAGAATGCTTGAACATTCAATGTGATGTAGCCAGACTGTTGACCAGGGCCACTTTCAGGCAGCACCTCAGTCCTCTGTCACAACTTCACTGCCTGCTTGTTCATTTTCAGGCCCAAGCAGGAGTCCAGTGATGACCTTTAAGCTCCTGTACAGCTCAGATTCAGAATATCTGAAGGACCATGCCTTCCTATATGAGTGGGTCCAATTTTTAATATAACCAAGGGTGTGGGGCTTCTCGCAGTCCCACCGCTTTCACAAGTACAGTTGAGGACAAAAGAGATGATTTATAAGCACCTGTTCCCAGGTGGTTGACTGCTCTTCCTCAGGTTGAGCCTGTCCCTACTGTTCTCCAAGTGGCAGGCAAAGGCCTTCCTTTTTAGGCAGACTTTGGACAACTAAACAGAAGTGAGCTTTGTTGAAAGAAGCAGTACATTATTTTGTTTGTTTCCAGTGTGACTCCCTGCATTTCTTATTGTTTTTGGAAGTGTTTTTATTAACAGTTTTAAAATGTTATTGTTTTGGTTTTTAGAGAAATAACATTATTTTTAAAATTAAAACTAAGATTTTAATTGCCTTTGATTTTAACTGTTTGTGAGCCACATTGGATCCCTAAAATAACTAAAATCAGTGTCTGAAGCCTGAAGCTGATGCTTGGTTGACTTCTGAAATGCCATTTGACTGTGATTTTGCCATTCCTTTTCCCTTTTGCATCTGGGGAAGGCTAAAGAAAAGAGAAGCCCACTGTGGTGAGGAAATCCAGCTGCTTCACCATGACATTACAAGCAGGAGCATTCTTCCAGCTGGTATTTTTGTCAAATAGCTGCTTTTGCTGCACCCATTGAAGTGAAAGGTTCCAGTCACTGTGCTGTCTCCTTGCTGGTGAGGTTAGTGGGATGGGGGACTGCACCTAGCATCTGCAGAGACTGTGATGATGATTGTTGCTGCTGGGTACAGATGACAGTAAAAAAGTTGAGCCAGGAAGAGTGGTGCTCTTAAACCTTCTTCCCTCATAACCTTTCTTTAGCCAAAGAAAGATAAACCTTTCTCTCAACCTTATGAATTGTTCAGAAGTATAATCAAGATCTATCAGTGTGACTGCATTTCTGTCTCCAGGAGGAGTTGGCTGTAGAGCTCATTGATAACCCAGAACGTGTACCCCGGGAGTACCAACATTCTTACCTCCGCAGCATTGTTGTGCTCCTCTTGGCTCTGCTATTGGTATGTGATTATTATTATTTTTTCTGAGAATATCTGCTCCATGTTATAAGCATTTCTGGATTGTCTGTATAGTTAAAAGCCTTAGGTTGCTATTGGGGGGAAAAACATTTCTCAGCATCTTGATCCTTCAAAAATGCAATTTCTAGTCAGTACTATCTATTTTGCTCTTTGCAAACATATTGTCATCTGGTAATTACCACATTTTGGAGTCTTATATAAAGAGGTAATTGCCCCCATAACACAGTTTTAACTTGCTGTTTTGTTCTACAACCTTTGCTATTCAATAAATAAATAAATAAATAAATAAATACTTCCCTCTCCCCAAAATACCCTGGGAACACTTGTTTTTATGATGACTGACAAGTATTTCTAACAACATTCATACCACCATCATCTGGGTATAGTAGTCAGGATCAGGGGCACACAGATTGGCTGACTTTGGAAAGCAGTGAAAAACCTGGTGCTTCTCTTCCAAAATGTTTCAGGCCATGGCAGTGCAATAATGGCAATACCCAGCTGCCTTCTCTGGAGCTGGAAAGAATGGAAGGAGCTCATAATTGATAGCACTGTGCAGTAATCATCTCTGCAGTTGCATTGGATGTCCAAAGTGCAGTACGACTGCAAAGATGATGCCCACTCCTTTTTCAGCTTCAGATCTTGGAGAAAGGCTGGATTTATCATCAGAGGTTGGTCAAACATTTGCTGTGGCCAGAATGGTAAGGAGAACTGTGAGCCTCCCTACAGATTTCTTCAAGGAAGCCAGTGAGACCAACGTATTCGGAGCAAGTTGAAACTGAACACAAGCAGATTCCTATGTATTTGCCTTTCAATTCTATCAATATGCACTTTCTAGATTTGCATACTGATTGGTATCGCCCACATGCTTGTCATCTACCGGGTTGTGATGACAGTCTTCCTGACTCAGTCCAGCTCAGAATTCTTTCAAGAACGAGCCTCTACCACGGCAGTAATGACAGGGGCTGTGTTGCACTACTTGACCATCATCATTATGACCAAGGTAAGGACTTGCTCATGGATATTTTCTAGTTCTCTGTCTTGCAGTCACTCTACATGACAGGATGTATGGAATTATTATTATTATTATTATTATTATTATTATTATTATTATTATTATTATTATTATTATTATTATTATTATTATTATTATCATCAT